ATCTCCAAGCCCAACTTGCTAGTGAGAAGTATCCTCTTCTTGGCGAAAGCTGCCTTAGCCATGGCCATCCTTGCTTTTACTTCCTTGGTGCATAGGGCGTCCGTCGTGACTATGCTTCCCAAGTACTTGAAATGCTCCACATTCTCCAGCTGTTGGTTTCCAACTACAACGTTCAATGGTTCTGCTCTCGGTGCTATCCTCATTACCTTAATGGAATATTACGCTACTATAAATATGTAGATTTTCAAATAGTCAAGTCAGATCGACGCGTAACCTCACTTCACGACTACACAATTTGTAAAACCCTTTGTAACAGATACAACTTACAGCTATTGAAGCCCCAAGCTGCTACATAAACGCGACATTTAATTAAATGTTTATACCATTATATTTTAGAAACAAATGTTTTCTAATTCAAGTGGGCCTGCTTTTTTAAAAATATTATCCGAATCAAACCCTCGGTCCAGAGGAATGGTGTCTGAACTATGTGTTCTTGGCTTAGGCTGAGAAGCAGCGGTCAGACCTAGCCCGCGAACTGGAGGAATTAGGAGAACGTCTTGAGGAAGCCGGAGGCGCCACCTCGGCACAGATCGAGCTGAACAAGAAGCGAGAAGCCGAGCTTGCCAAATTGCGCCGAGACCTGGAGGAAGCCAACATCCAGCATGAGGGTACCCTGGCTAACCTTCGCAAGAAACACAACGACGCTGTGGCCGAGATGGGAGAGCAGATTGATCAACTGAACAAGCTGAAAGCTAAGTAAGTCGCCTTCGAAATTTTCATGACGTCCGGTCGGAGTTTTTTTCGTCGTCATTGAATTCCGTGTCTGGATGTGGGGGTAAAGTAAAGATCTGCATAGTTTTAAACTCCGTTAAAGTGTCAAATTACAATATTTGGAACATTCCACATTCCTTAATTTAAAATAAACTTGTGTAGAAAAAGATAGATTTGGAAATTAAAAACCAAATATAAATTACATATATTCGGTTGGCTTCCTCATTAATCGTCAGTAATCTTGTTAGAGTTTACTGGAAAATAATCACGAAGTACCAAGATAAGAAATCTCTAAATATGAAGTCCTCCGTATTGATTCATAGAGCATAAAATCATTTAAATTAAAGTTTTGTGATTAGGATAATTAACGTTCGTCAGAAATGCGTTATGGCGTTAGATGCCATTTTATAGAAGGAACTTTGAGTTATTTTATGGCTCATATTTTGTCAAAATCTGGTACGTGAAACATCTGTTTTATTGTACGTCTGTGATATTTCATATTATCTGTGATCTTCTTACAGGCTTGTGATGGAGACTTAAACGATCATGGAACAAAGTTTTGTATTGTTCTTCATATATTATTGATATTTTCATGGTTCGTGTAAAATTATTGGGTAAATTTTTATTTGTTACCTCATCTGGTAATTGGATCGGTTATTTGCAAGACATGAAACCACAAAACAAACTCCGTAAAACTCCTCAAGAATGCTTTGTAAGTGTCATTTTATTATACAGAGTTATATGCTAAAGTTATATTTTTTTTTGGACTCGTGTTGTTTTTCAAGTACCCACATAATATTGAAGAACATTGCATGACTTTTGGTTGTGTGTCTCTTTTCACTGCTGGGGTGACCTATTTACGTCGCAGAGGGTTTCGGAGGTTTCTTTGTTATCGAAACCTAAACCAAAACCTAATAGCATAATAACATATTTCTAGGACTCATGTTGTTTTGGTGGAACAGATGGCATACTGCTGCCTACTAGCAGTAGTCTTGGATCGATTTCATTATTTTGGAAAACGTTACATTTACCCCCGGTGATCGTCATAATATCAATAGCTCATTACTCAAAAAGTTGACTCATGTGGTTTTGTAAATGTCCGATTGAATTTAACCCCTTCATGTTATAATTCCGTGATTCTGCTCTACCAGTGACGAGCACAGTGCGTTGTCTGCAGGCTTTGAATTGTTAATTATACGTAGGAGATTACAAGGAAGTGATATTTAGCAGTCGTGTGTTCGAGTCTCAGCCAAGGTAGAAATGATTATGTATATCTTTCATGAACAAATATAATTCTGTCACAAATATATTTTTAAGATTAAGCAAACGAAAGAACCGAAATATAACAAACTAAGAAATCTTGAATACCACATGACGTACTTAAAATTTAATTTTATAAACGCCATGTTTCTTAAACACTTCAATGTCCTCGCAGAGAGAGAGCTTTTTCGAAAACAGAAAACTTGTCAGTTTTAAGAACATTATTTTAATTCGTTCTTAGCATAACCCTATTAAAAATGAAGCACTAACAGTATTAGGTAACGTATGAGTGATATAAACAGATGACGTGATGGAACAAATGTGGGTCTACCCATGGTTGCCAAGTTCGTGGTTAAAACGTCCTCAGAGATATGTGATTATGAGGGATCTGGAAGAATCAGGTGAAAATGTTATTTAATTCTACAGGGCCGAGCATGACCGCTCGTCTGTTTATAACGAGATGAACAACGTCCGAGGGGCAATCGACAGTCTGGCCCGCGATAAGGTAAAATGTGGTGTCATCTGTCCCTTGTCCACAGGTTAAAGCAGCATGAATGTGTCCCCGTTCTTCGTCTGTACTTTGTAGGTTGGTTTCACCGTCCATGTGTGCAGAATAACTACAACACTCCACCAGTCCCCTACATATTTGAGTTTCACACTGAAGAATAAAATGATTCCAAATCAGAATGCCTTAAATGTGGGGAAAATTAAGTAATCTTAATTTATCTGTTCCTTGGTTTATCTGATAGATATCACTAAAAATAAAAAAAAATTACAAAAAATTAGAAGATAAAGTTTATTCACGTGGATTATAACCCGGGAATCTTTTATTAACTTAAGTCACCGCGAAATCTTTACTTTATACCTCCTTTAAGGATGTTGCATTTTATACGATGAAACAAATATCCTGTTGGAGTTACTAGTGTCAAATATAATATTTAATTATGAGTTGAATCAGGACAAATGACCAAAATTCACGATAACAGAAAAAAACAATAGACAATCATTTGAGGAATTTGGTTCAGAAAGAGTATAACTTTTAAAATGAAAAATTTCATATTTGCTGTCATTTGATTTAATAAACCAAGTTTGTATTTTTAATACAAACAAAAATCTTTTACCTGTCGTCCAGTTCGTAGTCGGTCTACTGACAGGGATCCCCCGGCTTCCAAATTCCTTAATGGGAAATGTTGAACACAGAGAACTCAGATCTGTTGGTGTCTGGTAGTGTGTTGAGACAGGTCTGCCCCTTCATCAGGAACTGTCACGCGTTGTGTCCTGACCTCCGTATTGCACTGTAGAACCCTGTCCTGAGTAACAACCACTGTTTTATCCTGCAGAGCCGAAAAGGACAAGGCTCAGTTCGGTGCAGAGTTGAACGACCTCCGTGCTGGTGTGGACCATTTGTCCAACGAGAAGGTATTTTTTACATGAATGTTCAATGTGGACAACGCTTTAACGCTACCAGCAGATTACTAGGATGTACCGAAACAACGCTCTAATACTGTGGAGGCATGGCAGATATTAAAATTTGTACTTATTTGTGGCTTTCAGTGATATAAAACCTTTATGTGTTGAATCGATATGTGGGCAGGTAATTATTTGTGAGAATATATTCATTACCATTCGACCGGTAACCATTGACATAATAATTATTAATATAATTATATAAGATGATAATGTTGCGTCATA